GGTCTTTATATTTCCTATTTACATCCCTGAGAATGAGCATCTGGCCTAAGCTGTTCTTGCAAGAGAAGAGCTTTCCAGGCCAAGGCTCCCACAGTCCAACATACTGTGTGTCCCCCACCCATACTTACTCCGACTCACTAGGTGAGACCAAATGTGAGTTGGGGGGGGCAGTGCCCCATGTGGTGGCTGAGGGCATAGCAGGTACATTGAAGAGCCTTTTGGGGCAGCTGGACTCCAGCCAGCTGGGATTAGAAAAAGAGTGTTCTGGGAAGAAGATACAGATCTGCCCCATGAGGAGTGAGTGTGTAGGCAATCAGAAACCTGCTGAGAGCCAGCAGGGAGGACACTAGAGGGCCAGCCCCACAGTGCAGTGGTTAAGTGCTGTGCATTGAGAGCTGGATTCCACATGGCCAACCATAATTTAAATCCCAGCCGCTGGTGGCTTGAGAAACATACTGGCCATATGTGCATGCATGGCCCAAATCCTGACAGGATGGAGTAATGGAGGAAAAAGGATTGCAACGTGATCATGCTCCATTGATGGGTGCTTTCTCTCTCTCCCTCTTGCTCTCTCTCTGGTGAGTGCACATGGCCTCCTTCAGGCTAGGTGGAAGAGGTGTTTTTTTGTTGTTGTTGGGCAACAGATAATCTCTGTAGGCTTTAAAAAAACAATAGCTAACATTTATTGAATTTTCCATGTGTCAGATATGAAGTGTTTTATTTCCAGTGTATCTTTTAATCCACAAAACAAATCTATGATGTATGCACTCTGTCACCGCTATTTTACAGAAGGGTAAACCGAGCCAGAAGAGGTTACTATTGACGTAAGGTTATTACGACATGGCAGAGCAGGCACTTAATCACTGACCCCAAACCACCACCTCATGTAATCTCTTACCACCATATCCCCTATTTCAGGTTTTAATTCTTTCTTGATCAAGTTTGTTCTTTAAATAGAAATGCATTATAGAAGAGACAGTGCTAAACAAGAAGTGGAGAAGTCCTCTGTAACTCAGTAATTTCATGCTGCCTTTGCCTTTTACTCTTCCTCTTGCTTGGGACCTAGGGAATCTCCATGTTGTTTTTCATGGTTCCTCCCCCGCCCCCACCCCCCCTTTTTTTTCTTTTTCTGTAAGCTCCTGGTCATTCTAGGGCTTTCTTTCACCTGAGTTCTTTGTCATAGACTCTGTCGCCCCTTTGGTCTCCCGCATTTTGAGGTACCCACCTCTCTTCCTCTGCCAGTGTCTTTTCTCTGAGCTGAGCTCCTGGGAGAATTGTCTGTATGGCACTGTTGGAGGAGATCTGATTTTTTTTTGGAGGGGTTTTTGCTATAGGGCGCGTGCGCTCGCCAGACAGACAGAGAGAGACATAGAGACAGAAAGCGAGAAATCACCCCCCAGGGGGGATGGTCACGCCGCAATCCCTTCTCCTCCATTCTCCTCTCGGGATCTTGGGCACGCATGCACACGCACCCGGCGTGAGTTTTAAGCCACTGGGTCTGGGACGCGAACCGCGGTCGACTACGTGGGAGTCCAGCGACATAGCCATTACGCTAACTGCTGGTTCCCGGAAGTTCTGATTTTTGAAGCTGCCATCTCTCTTGAGCCACCTTTCCTTTTTATTGTCTGCAGATTTTTTTTTTAACGGTTTGCTAGATTTGCTAGAGGGGCATGCACTTCCCAAAGAGAGAGACAGAGAGAGAGGAAGAGGGAAAAAGCACCTTCCAAGGGGGCATGGATACACCACAATCCCTTCTCCTCCATTGCTCTCTTCTTTTTGGATTTTGGGCACATATACACATGCACCTGTCATTTTTTTCAAGCTGCTGGGGCTGTTATTTGAATTGCGTGTTGGCCATGTGGAATCCGGCTGCCTTAACCCACCATGCCATGGATCTGGCCCTGTCTATAGGCTTTTAAGCAGAGGACTTGATCATCCTCTTCTAATTCCTGATTCCTGCTTTCAGAATAGACTCAAAATCTGCTAGGAGGCCACTACTGCTACTCAGGAGTGAGATGATGAGGAGAGGAAAGAGCAGGTTGGTGGGATTGGGGAAAAAGGGAACCTGGATTAACATCAGTGATGACCAGTATGGCAGCTTCGTTCCCAAGAGTGAAGGAGTATGTTCTATGAGCGTAGTAGCTTCCACATCAGAACCAGGGAATGCAGCAGGCCTGTACCCAGTAAGGAGATTTCTGTTCATGATGGGACAGAGCATTTGACCTGTGTCCTGCCTATTTCGAGAACCATCTCTGCCCACTTTATTGCTCACTCGTAGCATCTGTTCTCTCTCCCACCTATGCTTTGCTTTTCCTTTACTCCAGCAATTTCTGTCTGTGCTGACCCGGAGGCCAGTGCTCCTGTGAGTTCTCCATGTTACCATACCGCCAGTAATCTATTTAAGCCAGTGTTCCCCACCCCAAGTTCTATTCACCGCCAGTCAGATATCTGTGTTCGTTCAGGAAGTGCTGCTAGGGCATGGCTTTAGAATTTGGCGGGAGCATTATGGAAAACATTCTGTGGTCGGTTAGGCTCAGACTGCCTTTCAGTCTTTCTTACTTTCATTATTATTATTTGTTTTGAGAGGTTTTTGCTATAGGGCGTGTGCACTCGCCAGAAAGACAGAGAGAGACAGAGAGATAGAAAGCAAGAAATCACCCCCCAGGGGAAATGACCACACCACAATCCCTTCTCCTCCATTCTCCTCTCAGGATCTTGGGCACACACGCACACGCGCCTGGCGTGAGTTTAAACAACCAGGTCCGGGACTTGAACCACGGTAGGCTACATGGGAGCTCAGTGACATAGCCATTACACTAACTGCTGGTCCCTTACTTTCATTATTTATGTTTTTTGTTTATTACTAGAATAATAGGTTCTGAAAAAAGTTCAGATAGATGCAACACAGTTTTTAAAGTTCGTGATTTCAGGATCCTGGTTTTGAATGAGAGAGGGAGAGGGAGAGGGAGAGGGAGAGGGAGAGAGAGGGAGAGAGGGAGAGAGGGAGAGAGAGAGAGAGAGAGAGAGAGAACAAAGAGGGCTATTGTTTGCTGCCTGTAGGAGCTCACTAACAGATATGGGCAAGTGCTTGCAGCTTCCTGAGCCTCAGTTTCCTCTCATTTGGAAAAATGATAATAAATAATGCCAGCTATGCCCACCTTTCTTAAGTCTTGAGATGCTCAAATGAGGTAGAGGGATGTGAAATGCTTCATAAATTTTAAAGCACTCTTTGAATTTAAGTTATTAATTCATGGATAGCCACTTTTTGGACATTTAAAGATGGTTCAATTTACATTTAGTAGAAAGTCATCCAGTGTGAAAGTGATGTATTCATGACTAACAGGCACATGGCTCCCTGCTTCTTTATGGAACCATTCTCTGATTATCCTAAAGGGCCCAGATGATTGGCTTGGCTCTGCTGGGTGTGGTCTCATTCAGTGCTTCCAGGAATGTCCATTCTACAGGCAGTATTGCATCTCATTCTCCCAGCCCTCCCAACACACCCTGAGCCCAAGGTTTCAGATGTCAGAGTTATAGATGTTGTTCTTCAAAGATGGCATCTCAAGGTTAAATGACAGTTTGGAATTTTACATGGCATCCTTTCTTCTGTGAATGTTGTCAGAGGGGAGACAGGTGTTCCTGGGAAGAACTCATTTCTGGGATGGATTGTGCGTATGTGTGTGGGGAGGAAGCAGATGGTCTGCTGTCTTTTCTAGGGAATGGTGGGTGGAACGTCTTCTCAGTGATGAATTCCTTGACAGTGTGTTCAGAAGCAAGCATTTGATGGCTCTTCAGTACAATTCCCCTCCTTTTTTTTTTTTTTTTGGTGTCCTTTTGTCCTCAGGCCTCACTCTTTTTATGTTCACCTCTTGGTCCTGTGAAGGTGGCCCTCGGCAAGTAGCATCTGAGTCTTTGAGTAGGCTGGAGGGATGAACGAAGCCCTTCCTGGTCCCTCCTCTCTGCTTCATGTTTTTGCTTGTTCCCTCAGTGCCCAGCCTAGCCTTGTTTTCTCCTGGATTACTTGGGTTTTCCCGGCTCTCGAATCCTCAGATTTGACTTGCTCGCCCTCTGGTGGCAGGTCTGATGCAGCCCTTGTTACCACCCATTTCCTTCTCTCAGTATTTATTCCTGATCCACAAATACTCAATGAAGGGTTAGGGGGTCTGGAGTTGCTGCTCATGTAAGGCATGTGACATGGGATTTAATTTGGAGATTTTGATGCCCAGATTTATACAGTGTGAATGCAATAGCAAAAAAATGGTGTGATTATAGCTGTTCTAGTCCCCACCCCCAGGGTTTAAAAACAATCCAAATTATTTTACTATCCACTAAGCTAGTCTGAAAGGATCCAAGTGTGGTGAAGAGTTGAAGGTAAAAATGATTTTTTTAATGCTCATTTTTCTCATTTTTTCTTTCTTTGGAAAGTTTTTTTTTTTTTTAAAGAATTATTTTATTTGACTTTATTTATTTATTTATTTACTTATTCTATTTTAATTTGACCAGAGAGGGACAGTGTGTGTGGTGTGTGTGTGTGTGTGTGTGTGTGTGTGTGAGAGAGAGAGAGAGAGAGAAAGCAAGTCGCCAGATCTGGGACTCAAATTGCAGTTGACCATGTGGTAGTCCAGCACCCTTAACCACCACGCCACCTGCTGGCCCCTAAAGCAAGAAAGCAAGCTGCCAGGTCTGGTACTCAACCGCAGTCAGCCATGTGGGAATCCAACGCCCTTAACCACCATGTCATCTGCTGGCCCCATACATTCTTTGGAAAGATTTCTATCTGTAACTAAATGTTCAGTACTCAGTCCTGTTAATAACTTTGAGAGCATGATGTTTTCTCTGTAGTTTATGTCCTAATTGCATTCTGGTTATGAGGTGGTTAAACTTATTCCCTTGAGGAAAAAAATTAAGTATAGCATAATGACTCCTATTGGTATTTAATTTTTCTACTTCATCTCACAGACTAGTTCTCTGAGCATCTGCTTCTTTATTTATTTTCCAAGTCCTTTTCAGTGGAGAGAGAGCTGCAGGATAGCAGCAGTAATTACCCAGACGACCCCTGGAGAATAACAGAAGAACAGTGGGAGTACTATGTCAATCAGTTCCGATCCCTTCAGCCAGACCCCAGTTCCTTCATTTCAGGTAAGAGCTTGGGGTGCTGGGGTTTTGTTCTCACATGAATAACAGTGAACATCTTGTGAAATGTTCACACAGAATGAGCACTGACAACCTGCTGCGATTTCAATTTGTTTGCCTCTATGGCTGAATTTCTCAACCGAGTATAAACCGTGCAGAAAAAAAGTTGGCAATGGCATTTGGAAAATTGTGTTTCTGTTTGAAAAGGGTTAAGTGAGAACTGGGGAAACCTGGTCAGACCCTTAATAGAGCATGGCACTGAGGGGGCATCCTGAATTGCTTACTCGTTATATTGGAGTTAAGAGAAGACAGAGAGAGGCCTTCCCAAGAGCACATGTCACGCATCTCCGTATGGTCTGCCTGTCTCAGAAGTTCAAACTCATGCTCATTTTCTTTGGCTCAGGTCTTTCTCCTCTGGGTTTTCTGGGAGAAATTAATATATGGGAAGAAAGTTGGCCAGTATTTTCCACATATCATTTCTTTTGGGTTGTCTTCAGATGTATGTATTCCTGTTGAGTTTGCATGTAAAATTCAAGCTGAGAGGAATTGATTGAGTTCCCATGTGCCTATACCATCCCAGGCTGAAGACTAAACAAGAATTGAACTAGCAGAGTCTGGAAGAAAAATTCATAAAAATTTCTTCTTATACTTTAATTTTGAAGAGTAACAGTATGTCCTTGAGAAGTATGACCTGACAGATTGAAGTGTGGACTAAAGCAAGTTTTCTCTAGTAAAATAAGGTGTGTAATTGAACTATGTCCATACAAATAAATATAGACATCATTTACTGATTGTTAGTAGTGGCTTTATTGAAGCCAGAGTAGATGCAACAAGTTAATGTTGACATCATGATTTAACAAAAAAATGGGCAGAAACCCATATTGACCAACTGGTAACTTTACCTTCTGCCCAAGTGAGTTTTTTTTTTAAATTTTTTATTATCATCATAATCTTCTTTATATTACATTGGATTACATATAATTTTACAGTGTATTACATTGCTTTTTCAAAAGGGAATGCCATGCATGTCCATCAGTACAAAGACAATAATCTCCCCGCTTCAACATTCGATACCTTTTCTATGTTTTCCCCAATCATTATTATTATTATAATTATTTTTTTAAAAAGTCAATTGCTATTTCTCATTTTGCTTGTAAAAATACTTTGCCCATCATGAAATACTTCTCAGACCAATCCAGTTGAGAATACTATATATGTCATCATCAACAGTTAATAAGCCATATCTGTTTCTCACTAA